GCTAGGATGACGCCACAGCACTCTATCACGGGCAACACAGTGAGACTTTGTCGCAAAAAAAAAAATATAAATAGAATGACAGTAAGAGAGACACCAGGAGATAATGTTGAATTCTTCATATCTGCCTATGGATAGAAAAGAGGGTGTTAGCATATTGAACTGTACATGGTAAACGAGGTAGTACAGTGGGTCCTGAGACAGTGATGTATATTTAATTATCTTGACCCATGTTACTAATTACCTGAATCTATTTTCTTATCTAGTTTTATTTTATTTCTGGATTATGTGTTACAAGTTAAAAAAGTGCTGATTTATGAAGTTTGTTTTTCTTAAAGCAAATTCGATGACTTCAGTTTGATTTGTGAGGCAGAATTGATAAGGTATTTGAGTGAAAGTAAATATCCTCAAACTCAGCACAATTTGGTTGTGTTCTTAAGTTGGCCTAACTTAAATGTTTTTCATTTTTTATCCATATATTTAAAGGTGTGGGCAGACTTGTCCTATCTTGGTAGTGCTTTGATTTATCTCCTGATTCTGATATTTGAAAGAAGCAAAGTTTATTCAACATTTTCTTCTCTGGGGGTTTCATTCCATTAATCCAAGTATTTTGCTCTTAGAACCTTCACAAAGTAGTAGATATTTTTATTAGTAGTATGAGAGATAGATGGCTGGAGATGATGAATAGGTTGTGTTGGAAAGATGACCCAGAGTCGAGTGGACTTTGTATGGGATCCTTAAATGAATGAGAATCTAGTAGGGTGGTTTGAAGATGGAGGTGATAATTATGTTTCTTTATACGTTTGAGAAGGCAGGTAGCAGCGTTCTCCACAAACTGGAGTCTGGAAAGCAGGCATTTCACGAGGCCCTAGAGAAGGGAATTACAGCAGTCAAAGAAAGAAGAGATGTAAGTATGGATGAGGGTTTTCCATAAGTAAAGTTGAGGCAGCAGCTTACATAGAGCAAGCTCAAAATAGCTTCTGATCAGAGTAGAGCGTCGATAAGCAGCAGATCGAGTTGACAAGGAGAGGATCAAGAAGAACTTTTGAAGATTAGTGTAGGGGAAGAGAAATTTTAATCCAAGTCTTTAACGCTTACTCTTGTTCAAAATAATTGAGTCAGTTATTCGTGCAGGAAGTTATAATACGTTGGGAAGTCTGGGAGTTGGTGAGGGGGGAAGAAGAAAAAACCACAAGCAGTTGTTCATGTCATATCTTAGTTGATGATTATTGGTGAAAATACTAGAGAACGTCAATTTCCATAAAGCTTATTGAGTTGAATATAATATATTCAATATAATTGCATATAAGGCTTTCATAGTTCCTAAAAGCTATTGACTATTGTCACAAAGTGATTTTATAAGTATGATATAACATGTGTTAAAATAGTACCTCTGTAACAAAAAGGTGTAGATTGAATAAGTGTTCATCTATTCTGTTTTTTAAAAAGTCACCCCTAAAAATTTTTTTTGATATTTTGCTGTTGTGCTAAAGCTTTTACTAATCAACCACGGTAATTCCCATTTTATACTTCTGAAAATAGGTTATTTTTTTTTTTTGCCAGTGTTGTTCTTGTTTTGGTTACCAGGTGGATATTGATTAAGCATATTCTCTTGGCTTTCACTAATTATTAAATACATAGATGGGGAAGGAGGATAATTTTCCATTTGAGACACTTTAAAAACTGATCTATCATTTGAGGTTTTCACCTTCGTGTTTAAATCTTACCTCTAGTTAATAACTACTTAAGCCAGTGATTTTCGGTCTTTTTAATCATTACACGTGATCCGGGATATGTGAGGGTTGGCATTTACAAGAATAACAAATTAAATGGAATTTGCTACGTAATACTTTGTATATAAAGTAAATGTTTTGCAGATCGGGGTCATTAACTGTTGTTAATAATGGCTTTTTACTGACCCATCTGACTAGTGACCTTGATACACCTGTGATTGAGAGCTTCTGCTTTAGGTAGTTTGGATGGTAGACACTTTCTTCACTTACTATAAAAAATGATGCTACATGTAGAAACTAGGATCTATGCTATATAGAAATAAGACAATTCCAGTGATAGCTATTATTGTTTATT